AAAGATTATGGCCTTTGATTAGAAAGAGAATTTCAAGGTGATTTATCACTAAAGAGTGCCGCTCCAACTGCGGAACATGTTTGAGATATCGTCGCAATTAACTATTATCTAATTTGGGTTCGAATAACTCTTCGCGAAAGAGTTTCTTATTTACTTATCTTCGTTTCAGTATGAAACTTATTCGTAATGAACATAGAAACAGATTGTTTTGAAATAGAACATAAAAATAGATTAACGGCATGATGAAGGTTTCATTTGAGGAAAAATTTGATTTTTGCTGCTGTCAAATTAAAATTTATTTGATACCTTAATCGATCTAAGGAAAACAAACCAATTTTATAAAAAATTCGACAAAAAATTATATTATGAGGAGTTTTAGGTCAAAGGAATTATTTGAGTATTATAGTAAGATTCAAAGTAAAAAGATGTTCGAAAAGAAAATGATAAAAAAGCATTATTTTCTTTTGCAGCCTGCTTTTTCCAGTTTTAATTGTCAGTGAAAAGTACATTTTATTCACAAACAAAAAATTATAAAATAAAATTAACGTTTAGATCTGAATCATGTACACGTCGAACACTTGTGAAACACGAGTTCTTAGCAAGCTAAAAATTAATTTTTTGCACGATGCTAAGTTGAGAGCGACTAAACAGCTTCAAAAAAGAGTGTCGTCCAGCTGATTTCGAGCAATTTTCTGACACCGTAAAGAGATCTGCACGAAAAGCTTTCTTCCCATTAAAACACGGTAACAGTCTTCACGTCTAAGAAACATCTAACGTTTTAAAAAACTGAGAGTTTATTACTAAATTCTACTTTTCGATGCCAAATTATAGACAAAATTCGTTAAAAAAGTATTTTGAATTGCGTACTCCCACAAAATCCAAATTATAAATAAAAAATATAATATAAAATGTGGAATAAGAGAGAAACAGAGTAACTCGATTGATCAAGCTCTTGAAGTCCTGTTCCTTCCTTTGAATTTTATCAATAAAGTTGTGGAAACTCGTCATTTGACATAGCTAAAAAACGTTGCACATGGGAAAAAATGTTTCCAACATTTTATTTTTCTGTTATAAAATCTGCAATTTTATTGTTAATTGTTTGAAATTATTCCTTTTTAGCTTGAAATATAATCGTGGTACCAGATTTAAAGGAATTTGATCTATTCTAATCTTCACCATCGTTATCTAACTTACGATTTAGGAAGGGGTAAGTTTTTACCTATTTTAGGAAATTTTTATCACTTTAGAAGTTAACTCGGTGATGATATGCTCTGAATTTTGGTCATGAACAAAAAAATCAGAAAGGTCGAAATGATTTAAACAATAAGAAAACGGAAATGGGAGAATAAACGATTAACAACAGATAAATATTCAAAATCTTATTTTTCTAAGCTGATTTCTCATATCACGGTTTTTATTTTAGTTCGTATATCTGTTTTTCAATGTAAAAACCTTTAAATTAATTTTTGACCTGCTGAGCCGATTTTATTGAGATTTTGCGCATATAACTTTTTTGCGATGGAAATACAATATTTCGTCAATTTTGAATTGATCCGAGCGAATCTATTTTGAAAGACAACGCCAGATGGATAAATATGAAACGACTTTTAATCCTGCGTTACTGCGAACTTTCAGCATTCCTTTACTACCATATATTATTTATTATACGAAGAAATATCCACACTAGTCGAAATGATTTAAACAATAAGAAAACGGAAATGGGAGAATAAACGATTAACAACAGATAAATATTCAAAATCTTATTTTTCTAAGCTGTAAAGGTATAAAATAAAATAAAAACAATTTTTGTAGCGCTTACAATTTTACATTTTTTTAAAAAAACAATTTTTGTAGCGCTTACAATTTTATTCGCTGAATATAAAACTTTTGTCGTTTAGTTTTTTTCGTGATTTTATACAGAATAATCAAGAGAAATTGAAAAGAATTACCGTGTTTACTCGCGTAAAAGTCGCACCTTTTTCAGCCTGTTTTTCATTGTGAAAGTTCTAGGTGCGACTATTATGCGTGGAAATCTATTACACAATATTATACACTTTTGACGATTTTTTCTACTTCAAAACGGTGTGCGACTATTACGCGAATAAACACGGTGTGTTGATTGGGGGGTCCACGGTTTAATTGTTATACCCGTTAAGAGCCTGAATATTACGTTAAATATATTACATGCGGATTCTTCATTATTTAATTTATTTAAATATAATACAGGGCGATGATATTTGGTGGAAATATTCTGAAAAGTGGTACGCCGTAGTGATTCAACCCAAAATGCCGTTTCGAGACTAATATCCCATTCGAAATTAACATCATTAATAAAATTCATAACCTGGTTAAATCATTTCTTAATTAAAACTCGTAGACACAGAGACCTTATGAAAGATTTTAACATCTTAAGTAAACATAAATTGCGCAGCTTAAAATTGCTTTTGTCATATTTTCAAGTTAATATTTGACTTAACTTTGTCTGTCACACTCCGTAATTTTTATCTGAACTGCTTTACACTACTTGCTTTTGACTCGGCTGTGAGTACACAGATGTTTCTATACTTCGTTAAACACATATCAGATCTTGGCAAATATATTACATTAAACAATTTTGTTTAAAATTATTTTAATTGCAATAGATTATATCTGCTGCTAACAAATAATCGTGATAAAATACTATTTAGTGTAATACTGAACTGGGTTGCAGCAAAGCTAATAAGCCGTTAGATGACCCCCAAAGCTCTTTAAACTCCATCGCATTTTAAAACCCAATTGCTGATTAAATCCCTCTAGAAAAAATAAATTTTTGATTCCAACTGATATCTGAAATTGAAATAACCTTAGAATATTGGTCGGCAGTTCATTAATAAATTTTTACAGCTTGCCATTGCCTTATTCTAAATTCATACATTCATTTAGTTCTTTCCTTATACTTATACTTTTCCAAACCATCTGGGTATGTGTGTTTGCAGATGTATATTCTCATACGGTAAATCTACATAACGCTGTGATGCTAAAGACTGACACACATTTACAGGTATGCAAGGAAACTGTATTTTGCATGTTAATAAGGTATATTAAAACATAAGTTGCAATAATGCATAAAAGAAGAGCAAACAATCCAAAATTGAAGTTCTACGAAATGTGCATTGTGCTGTGCTTGAACTACGTTATTCACTCTCATAATCAAAATAATAACTAAAATATTTTTAGAACTAATGTAGCAATAGCTACAAAATTAAATCACTAAGTATTTTTGTTCATACATGAATGAATATTTAAAGCAAGCTCTCTTCTTGTTTGTCTAATAAACCGCAGAGCAAAAATATGAATTTTATGCATAAAATTTCAGATTGCATGATTTATCGGTCTGAAAAATTAGCTTTATATTCGCTATGTAATGAATTCGAGAAATCAATAATAAGGATGTTTCAGTACCCAGAATTGATTTTTGATCATTTCAGAAAATTTTCGTTCAGTTCATAAATCTAAAAATTTGCATGAAATACATATATTTTTATTGTAATCTTAGTTTATCAATAAGTTTTCTAATAAATGCATGTAACGTTTTGTCTAACACAAAAGTCCAGAAAGCTACACATTTCCATTTTGTATGCAGTATGTTTAAAATAAGAAGCATATATGTTACAACTGAAAAATCATCTCATTCCTTCCCTTTATATTCATTTCATGTAAATATCCTTTTTTTTTTTTTTTTTTTTTTTCCCTCTTAAGTATCTTGAGAAATCCTGATCGGAAGTAAAACTGCCGCTTTGCTAATTTCAGAATTTTTTTAAGCTATGTTTTAGCATATTTAACATTCTGTTAAGAATTTTAAAATGATGATCAGTATTTTTGTATACTGCCACTCATTCAGGACACATTTTGTAAAGAGAAAAATGAAAGAATCCTACAGTAAAAGTAAAAAGATTGCACCTTTTATTTAAAAAAATAACGACGAAATAAAACATAGCACAACAACGTTGAATTTAAGTTAATGTGAAAAGGGCGAAAAATGTTCCTCAGTTGAAGTCATTAAAAAAATTAATTACATTTTTCATCGAGGATGAAGTAAAGATAAATATTCTTTAATGCATTTAAAATTTTGACTTCATATTCATAATAAAATAATCTTATTTATTATTTGATGAGCATCTCAAAGACTTTTCATAATTTATATCTGATGACAGCTGATTTTAATATTAAACAAAGTTTTAAAGTCTTGTTAAGAATTAATTTATGGCAGAAGCGAAAAGAATGTAGGACCAGAGACCTCACGTGCGTCAGTTTAAATTAATTTTGCAATGTTTGTAATAAAATTTTCTAAAATTTGTCGAACGTTTACCGTTTTCCTGGAATGCATGAATCTTTAAAAATCACTGAGTATGTTTCCCGAAAACGTAAAATTTCTGAAATGAGAAAATTCCTTTTCCGAAAAGAAAATTATTCAGCATTCTGAAAATTATTAAAAAACTGCATTTAACAGCCATATTAATAACTTATTCTATATCTTTAAGTAAGTATGGTCTAAAATATTAAATATCTTGATTGATAATAACAATATTAATATTACTTTTTAATTACAGATGAATAAAATTTTAAATATTATAAATTATATTATATATTAAAATTAATAAATTTAAGTACATACAAATGTATGTTGTTAAATATATCATTTACAAAATTTCTATGCTATATGCATTTTAAAAATTTCAAACAAATATTAAATTTTATAGAGTCTTTCGTTAGTTAATTTCAATGTTCAATAATTGAAAGCGTGTGTTCCAACAAATGATGTTTCACTCTGTATGATTAAATGAAGTTTCAATCTGCATGAGTAATTTTCTCAGTTTATACGCGTTTTAAACTTTTGACCTTAACATTTCTATTTATTTATTATTACACCTTAGCATTCATGTTTTTGACATTTATATTTATTGACATTTAAATTGACTTAAACATTTATATATTTTATTTCATTTATATAAGTCTCTCACCTGGGTTAGGCTGGCTTTGGTATGATGTCTTCTTCATCCACTCAAACGGACTTCGTGCCGGTTGTGGTCTACATAAACCATTTACCCCATTTTGGTTAATATGTAGAGAAAGTCCTGGGGATTCTGATCCGCTCATGCCATCGCTAGATACTGCTACCACTGAATCTGGACTGGGGTGACCCTCTGTCTTTGTCACCCCCAGACACTCTTGAAGACCCATAGGCCCAGAACTTTGTAAAGAAAAGTCTGCAGGAGCCACATCAGAAGAGTTCCTTTGAAAATGGTAAGTACTATAACCGATGGCCTGACTTTGGTAACTGCATGCGTTTGATGCTGCTGTCATCCAGTCCTCATAATGAATGGGCTGACGGGATGCTCCGTTTGCTGAAACTGCATAAACAGCTGGCCATGAGGAAGATAGATTTTGTTGATAATTTCCATTTCCAGAATTATCCACATTAGTGAGAGTACTGGAGTTAACGTTGCAATTCTCATTATATTGCGGATACACAGGCTGATAATAGTTTGGAGCAAGGCTGTATGCCGATGTTTGATGTCTTACTGTTGATGGAAGCATGTCACAGAAACGAACCATGACAACTGAATGAGAGAAATTGCGTGAAAACCTCTCTACTTTCTTTTCTAAACAGAGCTGTACATTTGGTTTTCAACTTTACGCTCCGCCTTGTACTATGCACGAAATGCCGTGGCCAATAAGACGCGACCCTAAACAATCCGCCTCCAAGAGCGCTGCTCAATCAGCTGACTCAGCGACAGAACGGTTCTTTGATCTATTGCTGTAGGCGTGGTTCGGATGCAGGCGAGATAAAGAGTATAACTTACACGTATCTTCGGGAGAAACGGACTAATTTTTTTTTTATTGCATTAGTTGTTTTGAATTAATTTCTTTTTTTTTTTTTTTTCAGAAAAAGTTATCATTTCTTGACACGCAGTTTAGAAATTTAAAGATATTTAAGGATAATATGTTGTTTATTTTATTGAGCACTGGATAATGGCGATGAAGTTTGATGGGATTCGTTCAAGAAACTGGAATCATTTCAGGTTAGCTTGACGCATTTTTTTTTACTTCCATTTCCATCAAAACTTTTATATCGGAGCTCTGCATATTCTCTCTCTCTCTCTCTATATATATATATATAATTTTTTCCCCTCTCATTTTCTTTATTCCGTTGTTTTGCATAAAAACTCCGTTATCCGTTTGTGTACAAAATGCATTCCGATGTGGCAGTTGCAGTGACTGAAGTTTGCGAAGCAATTTCTAACGAATTAATATCTGAAAGTTTTCGGATTTTATATTACGCCCAAAAAGGCTTTTTTAACGTTTTGTGGGTTACCTTTGTTTATTAAATATCATGCTCTTCTCAATTAAACCATAAAATTCAATTCAATACCACAAAATAATTTTAGTAGAGCATGACTTCAGAATTTTTGGATACACAGTCTCGCGCGCTGGAGATAATTTTTTTTTTTTTTTTTTTTTTTTTTTTTTTTTTTTTTTAGTGTGGCCATGGCTAGCTTTGAAATCGTTGAGTTTCTTAATTAAAAACTCATAAGTGCCTTACAAAATATGAAACAGATAATAAAAGGAATTCCAAATTTGGGCTTCTAGATGCTCGTATTCGGGTGGAGACGTACGTTATTCAAAATTCGATGACTCAAGGTACCGTTGTTTTATCACAATGAGAGAAACATATATAAATTTGTGCAGATTCTTCATTATTTAATTTCTTTAAATATAATACAGAACTCTAAAAAAAAAAAAAAAAAAAAAAAAGGTATGTGACTGGGCTATCTCGCCGTGATGAATTAGGAGCATGAAATCAACTTTTAAATGAACTTCGGGGCGAGGACATCCAAAATTGCAAAAACTTCATCAAAATGGGTGAAGGATAGTTTGAAACTTTATTGGAAATGATCTTATTCAGAAAAAAATAATAATAAATAAAAAGTCAAATCTAAAGGCTTTCAGATTTTAAATTTTTGCAAAATTTTAGATTATATTTTATTAGGTGTCATTGGCCATCAGTAAAATCTGGTTTTTCGAAATTTATATCAACAAAAGCAAAGTTAGCCCTTTCATTTATTTTTTAAAATTGAAAGCTGTATTTTATTGGTTCAATAACATATCATTCAAATGTTTTTTGATTAAAGAAAATTCAGAAATGAATATGTTTAAAATAGCAATCCTATTTTGAATCCGGTATCCTAATTTAATTATCTTCTATGTTTTTTCTACAATATTTTCGGATTGATTTCTACACATTTTCGGATAGAGGCCAACGTTATTCAAAATTTAATGGCCCTGGATACCGTCGTTTTTTCACAATGCGATAAACATACACACACTCATGCAGATTCTTCATTATTTAATTTCTTTAAATATAATGCAGGGCGATAATATTTGGTGGCATCAATTTGAAAAGTGATTCAAAGCAAAATCCCGTTTTAAGACCAATAGCCCTTCTGGGCTAAAACCCCTTTGGGAATGAATATGAAGCAATATTTGCAGTGCCTTATGTTAGGGGGGGGGAACTAAAAAAAGAAAGGAATTTAAAAAATAAACAATCGAATAAAAAGAAAAGACATAATTTTACTGAATTTTATTGTTGAATCTGGATATTTATTCCTCTACCATCTGTTGGCAACGAAAATCATAATGTGGCTTTCAATTACAAAACCAAAGCTAATAATTTTATTACATAGCCAAAAAAAAAAAAAAATCGACTGATGAATCAATTTCGAAATTTTTGATAATATTAATTTAAGAACGGTTAAAAATGCCAAATAATTGAAATATAATAACTATAAAACAACGCGTTGATGCTGATGCGCGAAGAAACAGTTGTAGATATTATTCAAGAGAGAAACAGCATTGGAAGAGAAAATTGTTCAGAGAAAGAAAGCCTAGCATTTTTATCCGTACGCTTATCAAGTATACAATTCAACATAAAACTGCCAATAAATATGATTCATGAACGTAATCGATCAGAAGTTTATGTGAATCGATTATGAAGCATGTACGTCTGCAAACGCTCTCTGATTTCTAATGGATCGATGGAGAAATAGATGATAAAATACCCGTTTGGTGGCACAGAAATCTCTAGACTATATCGCTATTATCGCATGGGGAGTGATTTTGGATATTGTCTTTTTTTTTTTCTGTCCTCTTCATGCATCCCTACGGAAAAGAACAGGGTAATGGGGAAGTAGCCCTTTTCGTTTCAAATCGTTCGCGGAAATGAGAAGAAAAAAGCGGCAGCTAGAGAAATTTGGTATCCCCCGAGGTAATATGAAAAGGCGACGCACAGGTGCCTGTTTAGCCCGGCCAACAATAAGTCTACGGTAGCTCGGTAGATACTGCTTTTATTCTTAACTGGGAAAAAAGAAAACACTTTTAAAATTGCTTGTAGCAAACCACTTCCGAGAAAGTGATCTCAATTGTTTTCGTCTCATTTTGATTTCTCCCACCAATGGAGTTTATCCTACAGCTTTTGACTTTTCAGTTTTCTTCATAAATCAAATCCATTTGCGTATGTCCTTGAATTACTTTATTCCATGTAAAAAATAACTGCATTAATTGCTGTATACGTTGTTTGTGGTCCGAGAAGGCTGTGTAATTATTTCTTTTGGATTGCACTAGGCTGAATTTTGAACACTTGAACTGCAGGTACTGTAACTTTGTAATTTAATAGTTTATTTATCACTTGAATTGTTATTACTTTCAATTTTGTTTCGTGTATAAAATGAAAACTCTTGACAAGTTGAAATCCAAGACGAAAGTTATTAGAAGTGCTTGCACGAATTTAATAGAACTTACTTTTACTTTGATAGTCTGGATATTCATAAAGATGAAAGCGTTATGGAGAATTTGTCGGAATTTTTGTTTAGAAGAAAAACAGAATGAACTTCTAACTTTAAACTTGAAAATCGAAGACCTACAGTGGCTCCCAAAAGTGTTCGCACACTTTCATTGAAATAGGGCTCTATCCATTAATTAAAAGCAAACTTTCTGAATGAGACTTTATTAATAAGAACTATAATCTATTCGTAACAAAATTACATGAAATATTTTTAAAATATAGCGAAACTTTATTTTTAAGAAATTAATAATCAAAAAATAACAAACATTTTATCTCACAAAAGTCTTCGCATACTGAAATATTTTTGGATAAAATCAAAAGTAGAATTATTGTTTGCCGCGTTTTTTAATTTTTGCATTGTTGTGGCATTTAAAAAATAGTTTGCTTTAATTTTTTATTGGTTACTTCATAATATTCTATTTATTATTGAAAAATGGGTTGCAGTCGTAAAGCAATTAGTAAAGGCATTCGAAAATTGATAATATTTTATCATAGTAGTGGTAAATCAATTCGAAATATCGTTAAATTTGTTAATTTATCCCATTCTACAGTGCAGTATGTGATAAAACGCTTTAAGAAGAAAATCGGATTGAAAACAAGGTAAGAAAAGGTCGACCGAGAAAGTTAACTAAACGTAATAAGACATTTATTATTTAGAAAATTTGTGAAAAACCCACGTTTGGGTGCTGTAAAAGTTTCTGCAAAATTTAATGCAAAGTTTTCTACTTCAATTTCACCTTCACCTTCAACTGTTCGACGAGTTCTCAGATAAGCTGGATCACATGGGCGTTCAATCCGTGAAAACACTTTTGTTGGTGAGAAAAACAGAAAGCTTAGGCTTTCATTCGCAAAATCAATGCTAAATATACCCGAAACGTACTGGAATAATGTCCTATTTGCTGACGAAAGCAAATTTAACATTTTTGGTTCCGATGTTCAAATAACTATACGGAGAAGAAAAAAATGAGAAACTTCATTCTTAGTCGGAACAGTTAAGCATGGCGATGGAATTGTTCTTGTGGGGGGGGGGAGGGCATGACAGCATCAGGACTAGGAAATTTGATATTTATTGATGGCATAATGAATCATTCTCTTTATTTAAATATTTTAAGAGACAATTTAAAATTATTAGCCCAAAATTTGGGTATTGGAAACAACTTTTATTTTTAATCATGATAACGATCCTAAGTATACGGTTCTCAATGTTCGCCTGTCGTGTCTCTATAATTGTCCACGGGTTTTGAAAACACCACCTCAGTCGCCAGATTTAAACCCCATAGAACACATCTGGAAAGAGCTGGAGGTTAAAGTACGAAAATACGACATCAAAACGAAAAGCGAACTCAAAACAGCTATGATGGAAGAATGGATGCTAAAGGATATCCTACTAATATTAATTTAACGAAAAATGAAAATATTTACTAATATGTCAAGATTTTTCTGAAGTGTACGAAGACTTTTGTGAGATAAAATATTTGTCATTTTTTGATTATTAATTTCTTAAAAATAAAGTTTCGCTATATTTTAAAAATATTTCATGTAATTTTGTTACGAACAGATTATAGATCTTATTATTAAAATCTCATTCAGAAAGTTTACTTCTAATTAATGGCTAGAGCCCTATTTCAATGAAAATCATAAGTGTACGAACACTTTTGGGAGCCACTGTAATTCAGGATAGTACAATGTTCGAAACGGAAATTCAAAGTTCACTCGAGTATAATGAATTTATAAGTAATGTTAAACTCAAAATCAGGACAAACTTAAGAAGGTATGAAATTGAACATTTTAAATCTTCTCAAAATGTTAACGTTTGTAATTCGAATATTCGCAATACATCATCTT